TGTGAGTAAAGACAACTAAAGGACATCTTCTCAGATGTTATTTTTATAAGAAACTTATTCCTGAATGTAGAGCTAAAGCTCATGTAGATTTTGTTTTCCTTGGGCTTCACTCAAAGTATTGACAGGTGTCACAATCCTGTAGGTAGCAAACTGAAATGTCATATGTGCCACCAGCTACAGGCTGAGACATCCGTCATCTTCTATTCTTCTGATACATCAAGAAAACAAATATCAGTAAAAGACATTTCAAGGAAACCTTCGCTAAAATGTCGTGTCTGCAAGCAACTTATGTGGGTTTTATACTGTCCCAACACTATGGATAAAACCTGCTGTCAGCTGAGTTTTGTTTTGCTAAAGTCTTTCTTTTCATAAAAATGTACTTGAAAAACAAAATAAAAGTATGTGAGATCATTCACCCTGCTTTATCGCCATAGTTTTTAACACAAATTGGGTTTTTTTTTTCTTTGTATGCCATTAAAACTTTCATACTGTCATAGTTAAAGATGTTAGACAAGATGAAGCTACCTCAGTGGTACAGCTAAATCCATTCAAAGTCTGAATTTTGTGCCTTAAATTGTGTTATTCCCTGCATATTCAGAACTCTGAATATGCGGTTTGCTTCAGAAATATTTGAAATGTAAATAAATCTAAAGAAAATCAGAGGCTTTGTTGTTTATTCATTATAACACAGAGTTAATAAAGAGGACTGCCCACGTTCTCTATAAGGTTTTACTGAATGCGGTTAGGGGGCCTATAGTAGATATTTAAGAGGTAATATATAAAAACGTTGAAACTTTATTTTTAATGACAGAAAGACGTTGTGTGCACATTACTGAGATGCCCTCTTACACATCACAGGTCGCCCTTCTTTATTATCAGAGCTGCCTGGGGTAGCTGGACGCTTGCAGTGACCTGAGTGAACCAAAAGCTTTGTGTTGTAAAAGATACTGAAGCACCCTTTACAGCTGGAAAGACTGTTGATTTGGAGGTCCATCACCAGAAATGACCTTTCATACTACACTTTATTATGTAAGCCATCATTATAAAATATTGACTAGTGCAGGCACAAAACGCATCTTTATGGAATAACAGTTATTTATCACAAGAGGGCCTACTGAGTACTTTGTAGCCAATCAGACCACAGCACATTGTCTACTGGGCTCTTCGGGGCTCCATTGATTTTTACATCTTGTGGGCAGTGACACCAACAAGAGCACATAAACTGTGCACAGTGAAATCAGTTACGGATTTAGGTTGATGTGCAGAGTCGATGAATAAATGCGCATTTAGGCGACTGATGGATCGCGGAGGTTAAAAGCAGAAAAGATTTGCATGCATGCACAAACGTAGGGGAGAAAGCTCGCGGGGAGGCACTACAGGCATGCAGCTAATACAGTGTTCATGTTTCTGTCATGAGACTTGGAATCACCACTAGATGGAGTGATAACTCCAACACCTTTGTCTTAACACAGGTACTACGTGTTGTTGGTGTGACACTACTTAAATAAGCAAATAAAGAGGAGTGTGCGTGTCTCTGTGTGTGAGTGTGTATGGCAATGAGAGCACAGAAGGACATCAGTTCGGTCCATTCATGAGCAAAGAGTCCAGATGCCGAGCGTTATCCACGGAGACCCAATTAAGAGGGATGTCTGTTGAAGGGTACAATGGCAAATAAAGTTCCTAACAAGTCTCCACATCTGCTGTGCTCCAGTCTCCCCGCATCACTCAGCAGCACCTGAAACATCAGTGATTTCCCCGAGGCACGGTGACACTAACATCGCGGCTTTGGCGCATTTGTCCACACCAAGGAGACTGCAAAAAATATAAACCCTTTTCATTTCACCGACACACACAATGAACACTCCAAGCATTCCCATGTCTCTGCAGATTACACAGCTCAGCAGTAAAGTCAGTTTGGCACTCTTCCGTCGCTGTGGTTACACACTTCCAATAAGCTCAGGCTGTGCGCTCTGTTTTTATTCCATCTGTAAAAATCGACACAAACAACATTATTTTTATATTATTATTATTATTATATTATATATAAAAGGGAGACGCAGTTGTAATATTAGATTAGTGTCTCATTGTGTGAGGGGAACTAGCGATGCAAAGTAATGGCACACGCTGATGATGTCAAAGCAGAAGCGAGAGAGATGAAAAATCAAGACGCAAACACGCATATACAGACACAGGCTATATCAAATCAAATCAAATCAAATCACTTTTATTGTCACATCACATGTGCAGGTACATTGGTACAGCACATGGGTACCATTCTTGTGTGCGAGCTTCACAAGCAGGCTATAAGCAGGGACGCACTCACTTTATCTATAACTCGGATCACTTAATCACATAGGCCACCCTGCTATCTCTCTGATATTAAATTAAGATGAAGAGTGGTGAAATTAACAGAATCCATGCCTCACAGGAGTGGTGAAGTAATGTAGGTGTCTGGCAGTGGAAGTGAAAGATGAAACACGTTCGGGGGATGCTGTGATTCATATCTAGGATCTGAGAGTGTTACTGAGGCTGGAGGTACCGCACGGTGGAACTGACAAAAGAGAAACGGAGGCAAAACTGTCATCTGCCTTACTTCAGTAGCTCATAAAGTGCTTTCTCAGGTGGATGGCTGGAGGGCGGATGCTTGGAGGCGGGTAGGCGCAGGGGTGCATTTGAACAAAGCAACTCATGGATGGGATTCGTCTCCAATCCGTGCCTCCCACAGAAAGCCAGTTTCTCATATCCCCCCTCACCTGTGGCTTCTCACAATAATTGCCTCGTTTGCTTGCAAAAGAAAAAAAAACCTCTCCAAATTGAAACTCTAGCTGATTCCAGGAAACAGGGCCTCAGGTGGCATGGCCGTGTCTTCGTTTATTTACAGGCTTTATGCTTTTATTGTTGCTGCAACCAACGCTCGAGAGCTCTGTATTGGAAGCTTATCTCTGGCTATACGTGTATTTTGAAATAGATGAGGATGTGGCGAGCCACCCAGCTACGATGATTTGTCCATTTTGCTCTGGGATTGTTTGGCAGATGGAAACGGTGACACAAACCGAAGCCACCAAGGTCACAGAGAGGTGCTGCAAGCTGTCTTGAGGGACACCCGTGCCGTTATTACGTGTTAACCCGAAACTGGCTTTTTATTCTAGTCTAATTTATTTTCTCTTCGTCTCCATGTACGAAGCAGCTTGCTATTGTTTTGACTACATCACATTTTCATCTATAACACTGTTGCCCCATATTTCAAAAAGAGGCAAAATCACCTGACTGGTCCTGGTTCAGTCACAGGCAGCACACTGACACTGTAACTGGGTTAAACAAAAATACTCAAAATAGACCGCAGCCTGTTCCTTCAGCACTTCCCTCCGGTTTGTCCTGTTGCTATGCCTGAAACCACAGCTCTGATTCAACACTGGATCCCAGTCATGAACAGTCAACATATCCTGCTGATATTCAACAGAGAAAGGCCAACCAGCCGGGGAGCAGAATACAAATGGCGGCCTAACAGTGGATCCTACTTGCATATGAATGATTGTTTCATTTTCTACTGTTCTCTTTCAGGGAAGAGTTTGCTGCTCGAGGCAGAGCACCTGTCCTCAGAGGAGAGATAAGCATCCCACGGCGGCAAGATTTGATAAACATGTTATTCTTTGTTGATGGAAATTCTTGTGTACTAAAAAATAAAAATAGTTCTCAAAAAAATTCCATTAGGGAATTTAGAATACATGCATAGATAGTGTATAGTGCTTTACAGCAGTCCCGTGGAACAGATTTCCACGGGTTTAAATTTAAGCTCTTTACTGTGCAGAAGCAATACTACTGGTATTAGGGAGGTAAGGTCTCCTGGTATATTCTGTATTTACCTCCAAAAACTCAGACTCAAGCATTCAGAAAAGCAATGATCTGTGCAGGAATTTCAATACACATTTGCTCATAGGTGGATCTCCACGATAGAGTCTGATTTTCCGAGCAGCACCGTTGTCCTTGCAGTAATGTGGATGTTTGAAGTAAGTGATGAAGACGCTGGTAATGCTTGTAATTTTCCGCATGTGCACCACGCGTATTATATATGTACACAGGGCATGCATGATTAACGAGTTTATCCCTCTACCTCTTCACAATCTCAGGGGTCGAAGTAAATAAACATGAAAGAGTGCATTTTTTTGCAGGGTTCACAGAAGCTTGAAAGATGATTTTAAAAGCAGTTAAATGTGATGCAATTAGAGCCTTAACATGAGCTGGTTCATTTTTAATAAGAGTTGAATGAAAAAAGGAGTCAAAGTAAAAAAAATAAAATAAATAACTCATGCATAGCTAAATGTATTTAATCAAATAATGCAAATCAGTTTCATAAAAGAGTTACTGTGGACAAATTTATATAGTGCTGATTAAGAGTAATCAGACTACTTTCAGTGAGGTTGAATTTATTAATA